CCCCCCGAGGGCCCGAAGTGACGATACATCATGCACAAAAGGATCTTTTGTGTCCTCGGCCCTTCCAGAACCACACGAAGGAGCGACACTAGCTGCCAAGCGAGAGCATACACGCTCACAATCCAGCGAGAAAATTCGAATCAGTAATGTGTCCGATTGATCCATTTTGCAGCTGGAAATCCGTTGCCACCTTGAGTTGGCCTTGCGAGTTAATTCACATCACAGATAAAGCGGATCCAACCAAATCAATTACTTGACGAAGCATCCAACTCTGGATTTGAGATGTCGCAATCACGGAACACCAGACAGTCTCCCCGCTGGCAATTGCTTTTCTACCCCTGCCACTTGGAGTCTGGAGACATTTCCATTTCCACGCCGATGACGACTCACACCCTTGTTTGCGGAATGTGAGGACATCGTGGACCTGGGGCAGCTTGAATGCAGCACGGAGGGGCGGACTGGGCCTCAGCTTCGCGCAATGGTTAACCCAACGTCCTCCACTTTAAACCAGCTGCTCCAATCTAGACCTCGGACAGAAGCCGATGGGCGCTGTGAAGTTCAACTCGGCTATCTCGTAGCTTTGCGAAAACACCATCTCTTCGAAGACATCTCATATGATGGCTCGATTACGAACCTCAGCCCTCGCAATGACTTCCAGCTTGCAGTCTTCCGCCCCGTCTCTGCATAATCCGATGTTCTGCATTCACCACTGCCACAACCCAATTTTGGACCCAAGAAACGACTCGTCCGACGCATCGGGTCGGCCGTCAGCAAGGTCCCCATCGCTTGCGTCCCTTGTCAGAGTTTCAACACCAAACTCTATTACCCATAGTCAATTAGCTAACGACCCAGCAAGCAAGACCCATCCACAACGAGTCGCAAACCGTGGAACCCAAGTCATGGAGGCATTGACTGGCAGGACATCTGAACCTGAGAAGCCCCTTGACCTGCCACTACATTCAAGCGACGTCATGGGCCAATGGCAGCAAATTCGACAGCGACAGAAATAGTCTCTGCGTAGGTGGGCTCGCACATATCTAACTGAGGCCATTTTCAAAGACACCTAGACCTTGAAAACGCATGCTAGGTTGTGGTTCTTGTAGCACGCTCGACAGCCGTTGACGAGTTTGCTTTTTCTCTGCAACTCTACGATGCAGTCAGCGTGCCTAGCAGCTCGAATACGGCCGAGGACGGACCACTGGTTTTTCGGCTACGTGCAGTCAAGTGGCACAGCGATAGCGCTCACTGCGAGATCTGGTGTCACAAGACCGCCTTTATGCATTCCAGTTAGTGTGGTCAAGGACTGCCTGTCGTTCTTTTCCCGCGACAATGCAGGCGGTGCTAGCGAGCAAGCTTCGCATGCGTGTAGTGGTGCCACGATGCTGGGGCTCTCGCACAACGTTGCTTGTCATTCAGTGACTACCGAGTGACGGTGAGGAAGGGTGTAGCATCGTGGTCAACACGAGTCAACCTTGTAAGCTTCCTGCAGGTTAAGAAACTGGTTGCGACATCAAAAGCCACTCCAAAAAGCCTTTTATTGATTTCACCTCAGCCCTAAGTCAACTTGCGATGCCCGAAAGAGGGCATTCGGCAAACCTGGACGCGTCTGGGCAAGCACGATACTTTCTCCCGCCCCCATGTGAGGAAAGCGCAAGCCAGCCAGCCCACTGCCGATGAGGAGAAGCAATCGTCGGAATGGTGGCATTCCTGTGCCTCACCCTTTCGTGGTTTCAAGGCCAGACAACTTCTGAGCCGGGTCTCAACCGTTGGAATGCCCTGCCCACAAGAAGGTGCGCTATTACTAGCGTCAAGCTATGATCAGATTTGGGGTGTTTTTCCCATTCGCATGTTTTGATGTCATCATCTGCACGAAGAATGCACATGGGAGCAAGTGCCGCTCAGGATCATCTAGGTTGGTCACGCGCCCGAACTTCATCACCGCCGTCGCTGGGCGGAGGTTCCGTGGAACTGGAGCGAGCGGGAGTGGATCCGGCCGGCCTCTACTGGTGCGGAGCCCGATGCATGGCTGTCCCGTCCGTCATTTCAACTCCCGCTCTTTTTCTTCAGCAATCCGATTAAAGCCCGTGGGCCTGTCTTTCCCGGCTCCTGTTAATCCCTTGGTAGAGAACATGCACACCTACCGGGCTTGAGGAACCGGCAGAAGACATGCCGCAATGTGGCTTGCGACATTCGCAAACCTAGAGACTTGTGTCACCAGAAGCTTCGCCCTGCGGTGCGGAGTAGAACCGCACCACACCACGTGACCTATACGTCCCGATGCGGCCGGATGGAAGTGCAACGTCCCGCCTCGAATGTAGAACCTTGTAGAAGGTGCTCGTACTACGTGACGAAGTCAATCACTTGTTGATTGCAGGAAACCCAAAGTCGTGAATAGCATCATAACTGTCCAAGATATAAAGTCCCACCCAACCCCGGGGAAACACTTACATATCCGAAGTGTCTTCGAGGACCTGATACCTATCTCACACAACTATCTCACACACCTCACCCCTCTTCCACCTCCATCAATCATCCCAACCATTCTACATTCTCCAAAGTCAACCGGATCAAAAACAATGGCCTCCTCCGCCCCAGTTACAGAATTCATAACCTTCACCTTCAAAAACCACGACACCTCGCCCCCCTCCCAACCGCCCGCAGCCTGGTCCGACGTAACCTCGACCCTCAAATCCGTCCCCGGCGTAAACGCCCTCTACACGGGCACCCAGCTCGAGGACCCATCCAAAACAGTCCTGGTCATCGAGTGGGCCTCCCCGGACGCCTTCTCCGCCTTTGCCTCGTCCGAGGCCTACATGCCCTGGTTCGCCTCCCTCAAAGCCGTCGTCGCCGCCTCCTCGCCCGTCTTCTACAAGGTCCCCCTTCTCTCCGCGAACCAGGACCCGCCGTCCGTTGTCCTCCGCGCGCCGTGCACAGAGGTCTTTGTAGCGTACGGCGTAGAACCCGACTTCGCGGGCCAGACGGCCGTGTTTGCCAAAGCGTTGGTGGAGGGGCGGGCGAGCGTCGCCGGGTATCACGGGCACGCGTACGGCGAGATCTCGACGCCCCTTGCCGTGGACGCCGCCTCCGGAGGCGGGGACGGGGAGAAGGGCCCTGCTGTGACGCTCTTGTTGGGATGGGATAGTAAGCAGGCTCACCTCGACGCCAAAGCCAAGGCTGGACGTAAGTTTGGTCAACATTTACCCCCTGCTGAGGGGGGTTTTCCCACGTAGGCTCTAGCAAGAAAGCTGACTGAGTTTGTTTACAGCCATATCTGATAACATTCACTTGCTGAGATCAGGCCGCAAGGACATTTCCATGGTATGTTGTTGTCGAGGCCGTCGATATCTTTTTACTTGCCTGCATCACTGACTGACGATGAATAGTATCACGTAAATCTGAAGCAAATCTGAGCACCGAATATACTGGATGCTAGTTCCATGTGAAAGTTTGTTCCTTGGAAGAAGAAAGCTACGAGGATGGGATGACTACGATTACGTACTGTACCTTTATGATGGGATTACGATGAGACGAGATGTGTAATATACTTTTGTGCCCCAACCACCGTCTATCAACACGATATCCTTTGTGCAAACTTGTGCGGCTTACTTCTGATCCGAGGCAGGATTGCTGCACGTCATCAGCACGTGCAAATTGAATGTCAACACTTACCGTCTCCTACGTCCATCTCATGAATTCCGAGTTGTGGATGCGTCTCAGCCCCAGCCAGCAAACTTCGTCACTGCCGCCTTCGTCCGATGCCTATTGGGAATCGATTAGCAATCTCATTCTCACGAGGCCAAACTATCAGTGTCCACGGTGACCTCGTCTCCTGCGCCAAGGCGCGGGCAAGGAAAAGAATTGATCTGCTCCTCAACAAGACGAGATATGCGCGCGTGTCATACGGCAGGTAGAGAGAATGTAGTAGGGCAGAGTGCACGAATGTATGTGGTAGAGTTGATCAGGACGATGTTGGGGAACGGGTCACGATATTCTAGGCGTCAAGGCTGTCATAACCGTCAGGGCTGTGTGAGTGAGGGTGATAGGACGACAAGCAGGGCCGAACAGGGCGGCGACCGATGGGGCGCGCGACGGTGATAGTGATGAGAGTGGGCAGGAAGTCAAGATGTGCTGGAGAATGGATGAAGTAAAAGAGAGTAGTGCACTATTAAAAGTAGTACCTCCTCTAAAAGCACCTTTGATCTGCCGAAGCTGATCGAGACCAGTCCCCCTTTCCAGATGTAGCCGGGGTCTCGCGGCGTAGATGTCGCTAGAGACCAATCCGATATCCCCCAAACACGGCGATGATGTTTCGCAAAAGAAAAGAAACTGTGCCATTCCGCCCGAAATTTTGGTTTGCCGAACTAAAATTTGATAGTCAGTAAAAGTCATGAACGTCGTCAACGCTAGATCCGGTGTTTTTCCGATTCTGTTGTACTTGTTAGCACTTTGCTCGACCCTGCTGACCTTGGCCTCAATCTGCTTACCAAGACGAGAGTAGAGCATGTAAAGCGCCATCCTGTTGCACTCCTCTGTGCCCGTGATTGTGACCAGGCGTTCGTTGCTGTTGTCTTGCGGCTCGTTGATCTTAATCACACTACCGCTGATCTGGCGTATTTCGTTGATCTTTTGCCCGCCCTTTCCGATGATGGCTCCAACCATATCATTGGGGATGTAGATCTGCTGGGTCAGAGGCGCGCCTGGCATGGCTCCTCCGTGAACGGGCTGAGCTGGGTGAGCGCCGTGAGGTTGAGGCATGGCAGCACCTGCGTGGGGTTGCATAGGAGCAGCGGCGCCATAGCCGCCAGCCTGCGCCGCACCGTAGTGAATGGGCATGGCCGGGTTGGGCTGGGCTGCCTGGTGAGGGTAGGGCTGCGCGCCGTACGGAGCAGCTGGCAGGCCGTGATGTTGGGCGCGAGCGTCGTGTCTGCGGTTGTAGTTATCGCGGTTACCGTAGTTGCCAGTGGTTGGCTGCGGGCTGTATGGGACAACTTGCATGCCGCCAGGGACAACGCCAGCGGGGCCACCACTCCTTGTCGCATATGCGGAAGCAGCAGGTCCACCGAACCGGTCATTCAGCTGCTCTAGCAGGGTGCTGCCGACGTAGTATGTAGCGATGTGAACCGCGTCAGCAACACCCATAACCACCAGCGAACGCTCGGTCGACAGAGGCAGGCAGGAGTCGGACGCGTTAAGCCTTGCACCGGAAGCCTCCTGGATCTCGCGGATACGAGCGCCGCCCTTTCCGATGATGGAACCGATCAAGATGTGAGGGATGAGCAGGCGCAGAGGGTACGTCTTTGACTGGGCACTGGATGGCTCGGCCAGAGGCTCATTGTTGAGAGTCCGAATGATGAGACCGAAGGCCTATTCGACTGGGTTAGCTACGACCCCTCTGGGCAAGAGCGATTCAGTTACAAACCTTTGCAGCAGCATCGACAACGCCGCTAACAGTCAAGATGCGCTCAACGGCCCCCTTTTGGTAATCGCTAACGGTGCACTTGGCACCCGACATCTTGCGAATGTTTGATACATTTTCTCCACCCTTTCCAATGACGGTGGCAGCTTCCGGGCTGGAAATGACAGCGCGAATGTGAATCCAATCTCTCTCATCGTGACTTGCCGAGGGCGTGGAGGTCGCGGGAACGGAGCCGGCAACGGAGCTCTGGATAGGCTTCGTCTCGGAACCTTCGGCGCCTTCGTCGCCAGCCTCAGACTTTGTATCAGCGCCATTGGTCTTGTCGGCACCGTTCACATCCGTGGATGGGATGGTAGTTGCGTCGAGTGGCTGCGCCATCTCAACCTCCTCATCACTCTTCAGTATTTTGTCCAAGGCTGGGCGCTTCGCGTCGGGCTGGTCGTTGCTACGCGAAGGGGACGAGGTCTCCTCGAGGGGGCGCTTGGCCGAGTTGGCGGGTTGGGTGGGCGACGCGGACATGATGGGCTAGTTGTTAATGTCTCACACAAGTTTTCGCAATTCCGTGTATGTTCAAGAAGAGCTTGTTTGTATTCGACTATCTACACCACAACGGTTTTCAAAGGAAAACGGGCTGGTGTAGTGGCGTAGTCGGGATCGGGTTCAGAGAATGTCTCTTCGGTGAAGTGGCTTTGATCGTGCAGGATAAAGGTCGTAGGGTAGGCAAAGATCGTGAAGTTGAAAGATCGGGATGTGGGTTCAGGATGACTCCTATCCTATCAGGTTCGAGGTGACTTCCGAAATCGTGAGAATCGCAAAGATACTCAGGTCAAGCGGAGGGAAGGCGAGGCTGGGCGATGAGGCAGCGGGCGGGCAGGAAGAAGGTGGATGATGGAAAAGAGGTAAAGAAGGTGGGAGGGAAGGAGCTGATGATTGACAAAGGTTGTATCTGGGAGGCGATTCGGATGCAGAAGCTCAAACCTTTCTTCCGAACAGTCCAAGCTGCGATGTATCGCGACGTGGTGTCAAGTCTGCAAGCAGAGCTTTGATGTTTCCTTGCGTGAGGTTCCTTGTCTCCTTGAAGCTTGTCGAGCTGTTAAGCAACGAAACGATGATGGCAACGCGCCGACGGTCAAGCCAGAGTAGTCGGACCTGGATAGCTTTTGGAGGCGACACGTGAGAGGGAAGCGAAACTGTGGGGGACCGATGCGCTGCGCCGTTGGAAAAACACAACCCACCAAAAGCTTTCGACAAACGAGGAGAGAGACGAAGAGGCGAGTCGGTGATTAAAAGAGATGGGGAGAGAAAACCGTGCAGGGCAAACAGATGGGTTGGAAGGGGGCTCCGGATGTCTCGAAGAGGTTTGAGAAACGGGATGGGAAGGCAAGATATTCTCACGCTTTCTCCTCAGAACAAGCAGCGCAAGTGCCAGCGCGGCGCCAATGCCAGGAGCCCATCGGTGCCCGCCTGGGGGCAAGGGCCAGTACAGTGTCTGAATTCGATGCACGGCCTCTACATTGACGCAGCCAGTGCCTTTGCTCATTTGCGGCCTGGCCTCGACAAGTCTCCACTCTGCACCAGAAAAAGAGAGGTACCCACACAGTGAGAGACGATACCTTTCCGGCAGATTAAGCAACATGGGGGAGAAGGTGGCCCCCGCTCCGGAGGTGCCTAACGTACCTTCCGCAGCGTGAGGTGCGCAACCAGCTGGTCCTTCTGGTACTCTTATGCCGTACGGATACCTGTGTGCCTTCCCACCTACGTGCCTATGCTGGGGATTGGATGTTTCATTGGGCAGATCCATGCAGCGAACCGCACAGTGTTTGCTATTTCGTGTGCATTTCCTCCGCACATCTCCCGCAGACTAATTGACCAAAGGAAAAAGGTGCGGGAGGGAAATGGAAGCTGCGCCTTGCGCCTTGCGACCGACCCTGCCTCCAACGCGGTGCTCTGCATTGTTTCCAATGCAAGGGGATGCTCCCATCGGCACCAACACACCTCCTGCACACCATACTCCGTACGGGGTATTACAGAGTACACAAAGCGAACCGGCACAGCGTCACGACACGTCTCGCCAATGTGAGAGAGATAGGCATCGATTGCTTTTCAACAAGTTTCCTCGTCGCTGTCAGTGTCATCGTTATGAGCAGCCACAGCCCTACCGGCGACTAAAACAATTCCTTCTTTAATCCAGATCACCGAGTCAGGAATCGCGATTGACAGCGCGCCAGACTGCTTGACAGCCAAGACAGAGCCATCATCTGTGCAAGTCGCGGACTGTCTGCGCCCCCGGAAATCTTGATAGCACCCGACACACAGTGACACCTCGTATGAAACAAGCAGAGACGATCTAGCGCCCGAAGTCGCCTTAATTATTCTGACAAGGATCGAATCAGACGCTCGACACCATTGGACGTGCCCATTGCTCCGACGGGCCGTGAGCTTAGGACGGATTGAAGACCTGCGCGTGCTACCGTTGCTTGAAGTGTTTCGTTTCCTCCGGGAAGCCCTCTCGAGGTAGCGTGCGCCATTCTATCTGATATTTGCACCGTGTCGCCAAAATACCGGATTGTTTGGCCTGTATCAGGGACATACAACAACACACAGCAGCCTCTCACTTTGAGCGACCGCTTTCAGCACAGCATGGACGAAACACCCCGTCCCGTCAGCGATAGGTACACCTTGAGCCTGGATCAGAGCTTGCGAGAACTCCAAGAGAAGATTGAGCAATACCGGGAAGAGCTTGCCGCAGTATGCATCCTAATTTATGCTCGTTGAGTTCTATAAGTTAATACGTGAACAGCTTCAACGAAATGCCAACTCAAGCCAGAATGTTCCTGGACCAGGAAAAGAACCTTATGAAGTCATGAGAGGCGCTTTCGAGCAAGTTGCCAGCACGCCTCCCTTCGTACCTTTCTCGGAATCCGTTCTACCCGCGCTACTTGCCCTGCGAACGACTCATCAGACCGTTGTTGAGTCCCAAGACTATCTGACGAGTCAAGGAGCCACTTTCGATCAGACCAAACGCAGGCTCGAAGTTGAGCAGGCGAATTTGTCTGACCAGAAAACCCTCCAGCAGAGTTTGGAGAAGCGAGTTCTGTTTCTCAAAGACGAGGCCGAATCTAGGATGGAATTGACGCCTGAACAGGCAGCCAAGAAAAGACTGGACGAACTGAGGCAAAAGAAGAAGCGTTACGACAAGGAGACAACCAAGCTACTCAAAGCTTTGAGAAACTTCATTGACGGTCACCTGGGAGGTCAACTAGCTGCGGAAGACCTCGGCGGACCTGTCGTGGGCGACATGATGGAAATTGATTCGGATCAACTCGGTGCTGGTTTCAACGCCCAGGGCCGACCTGTCAAAGTCAAATCCAATGTGGACGATGATAAACGACAACGACGCCTCGAGGAAGTTTGGGGTTTATCCCAAGAGGATGCCGGCCGCGGAAAAGGCAATACGGACGAGGCAGCGGCTGCTGGTCGCGAGATGCGCGATCTTACAGAACAGCTTCTGAATCAACATGCTGAAGCAGCTGGCGATAGCACTGCGGCGTACGTTAAGCTCTCAAAGGAAACAGCAGCGGCGCGATTCCTCGTCAGGTCCAAGGTCGCGCAGTTCCATCCTAGGGACGCGACTAGGCTCAAGCTCATTGATTTTGGAAGAGAGCTGGACGACTAGCAGGGCTTGATCTGCCGCACATCCGTGCGAGCGTGACTGCGACGCAGTCGGCGCAGATCCCCCGTGTGGAGATGGCCAACCAGGCAATCAAATGAAATTTTCACGATAGCATGTCTACCCTGGGCCTTGCAATGTCAGAGAAAAGCTCCTGTTGTTAAGCGTTGAGTCTCTTGACTCAGGGCACGCAGTTCTCATAGGCTCACTAGGGCCATTGCAGTGTACAAATGAGGCTCCGATGTTCACAGTGCGCGCTCGTTTTCGATAGTGCGTCACAGTGTATGCGATTAACTCTACACTTGCCTCCGGGTCTGGGTAAAACGGAAAAAAAAAAAGTTGGTGTCCAGGTTGGCACCTTGGCGTACGAAGCATGCGTCTGAAGCATCTCCTTCCGCCCTCGTCAATGCAAGAAATCAGTATGGAGAATCGACAGACTTTTGAGATTTCAAGCCTTTCTTTCAGGAGGGGTTCACAAGGCAACTCTGAGGCTATCTGATTCTCCTGAGAGAGATCGTCGCAAGATGAATGAACTCTGCCATGCCATGAGGTAGCTTATGCCCTTGCATGCTACCTTAAGTCGGATGACGACCTCTTCATAGTACGGAGTACTTGATATGTAAATGGGCAATTGGCATCTCTGGTTCTGATTGGCCAATTGCTCTGCCGCGTCCTGACGCGTCTCGCGCGACACCGCTAGAGTCCAGACGGTGAGAGAGTGTCCACTGACAACCCAGCAGTGGAAAGCCCCAGCAGAGCAGGCACCTAGCTTGTCGATTCAAAGGAGTAGACTCTCGCTCAGCATTCGACTCCCCACTTTGCTCTAGTCCAGAATTCAAACGGCGAAAAGGTAAACTCTACTCTGTAGTCTTTACATCCCCTAACGTTTCTCTCAACCCAAAATGACCTCTTCTGAACCCGTCGCCGCACAACAGCAGCAGTCCGATCCTCCCGCCAAGCGAGTCAAGACCTCCTCCAACGACGCCCCCGTCCCCGCCGCCATGGAGCCCTGCCCACCTCTTCAGATCAAGAAGCTCTCCGACAAGGCTCGCCTGCCGACCCGCGGCAGCTTGTTCGCCGCCGGCTACGACCTCTACGCAGCAAAGGTCACCACCATCCCGGCCCGCGGCAAGGCCATGGTCGACACCGACATTGCCATCTCTGTCCCCGCTGGCACCTGTATGTGTTGAGACCTCTCCTGTTGACAGCTAGCTCCTCAAGAGCTTCCCCCTTCTTGGCACTTGTAGTTATGGCGATGTACTGACCACACTTTCTCGTACACTATAGACGGCCGCGTTGCTCCCCGCTCTGGCCTCGCCTCCAAGAACTTCATCGACACCGGCGCCGGCGTCATCGACGCCGACTACCGCGGCCAGGTCAAGGTCCTCCTCTTCAACCACGCCGACACCGATTTTGAGGTCGCTGAGGGCGACCGCATCGCCCAGCTCATCATTGAGCGCATCTTCACCCCCGAGGTCGTTGAGGTCGCCGAGCTCGAGGAGAGCGTGCGCGGCGCTGGCGGGTTCGGCAGCACCGGCGTTTCTCTTGCGCAGTAGATACGGTAGCGTTTGGTAGATTCGATAGGGAGGCCTCGCGCTATGGCTTACAAGAGATTGAGCTCACGGGGATGAACCAACCGATGCCATCACATCACCATGGGAACGATACAAAAGTTATGGATTTCTTATAGAACTGGAAATGGACGAATAATGACAAATGCTACGACCACCACGATGTGCCTTTTTCTAGTCCTGATCCACAGGCCGTCTCTACATGCAGGTGACATTTATCTACCCAAGCACGCTTACTTTCAAATCTATGAACCAGCAAAGGAACACCACACAAAAGCGCCTTTTCAAAACCAAACACGCCTCTATAGGTCTTTCTCTCTCTCTTCCCCGTCGTAAAGATTTCGAACCACGCCCCCCCCCCCCCCTCCGGTCCCCTCCAAACCCCTGACTCTCTGACCCCTATCGTCCAAGGGGAGCACCCTCTACAACCGTCTCGCTCTCAACTCCACAGTCGGCTCCCGCAAGCTCGCAAGGTTCCTCACGAGCTTCAGCTCGGCGCTCTTGCTCTTGAGCAGGTGAAGCTTCGTCCTCCCTTCCTCCGTCTCCGCCAAGGCGTCCCCGCCAGCGGCCGCGACGACCTCCTGCATCCCGCGCGCCGTCTGCGTGAGGACCTCGTGCATGCTCGCCAGCACCATCTCCGCCGCCTTGGCGAGGGGCAGGTCCAGCGCGTCGACCTCGTCGCCGCTGAGCCAGGATTCGCGGTCCTTGAGCTGCTCCTGGTCCTCGCTGTAGGCGCTGGCGGCGATGACGGCCTCGCGCATGCGCACCGTCATGAGGGCGGCAAACATGTCGCCCGTGCCGGAGAAGTAGGCGTCGATGGCGGGGAAGACAATCTTGAAGAGGCGCGGCTCGCCGGTGGAGGGCGACATGCTGGAGCCGACGACGGAGAGGTGGGAGGGCGGGTGGTCGGGCGAGGCGAGGGAGACGGAGGTGATTACGACGTGGGGGATGCGGTACTTTGTGTGCAGGGCGCGGATGGCGGTTTGGAGCGTCTGCATGTCGGTAATTTTGACGCCCGAGAGGAGCCTTGGTGTTTTCTGGCTTTCGTCGGGCCAGATGTGTGGGCAGATATCGATGGCTACTACCTATCGGACAAAATCAGCACTGCTAACGCAGCGGCACCCGAAGCGGCGAGGCGATCAATCCGTTCCTGTCACTCGTCA